AACACAGTTTCTGGTAATGGGAAGAAAGTTTATGGTGTTTAACCTGCAGGCGCTCAGACAGCGGCAGGGTGGAGTGCTGCAGCAGGATGGAGGTCTCTAGGTCATTACTGGTCCTGGTGACTGTGGCGCTGCTGGTTCTGCCTTTCCCCGCCCTGTTTGCCATGACGTGCTCTGACAGCCGGCGATCGTGGGACTCATCCGGGATGTCCAGAAGAAGAAACACGACATCGAAGCGGGACAGAAGGGCTGAGCCCATTCTACAGACACACAGAAGAACATAAGAACTACTCCAAAAAGACGTCCACCTTCCAAACACCTCAAACCATACCGATGTTGTTTAGGAAAACTGACTTTAAATTCTCTGAGACGGTCTTCCCTCTGTTGTAGTGCCCTCCGATGGGGTTGGCAGCGGCAACAACAGACGTCCTCGCCGGCAGAGAAGAGACGATGCCGGCTTTAGCCAGACTCACTGACTGCTGCTCCATGGCTTCCAGCAGAGCCTGCTGCTGGCTGCCCAACTTATCGAACTCATCGATGCAACAAAGACCTAAAAGATAGAAGGAAAACAGACAGATATAAGCTGTCTACTAAAAACAGACAACACAGACTTTTACAATTTATAAAGACATGTTATAGAAATTATAGAAAAAACACCAATAGTTGTGTTAAAGCAGCACTTTGTAACTTTACCCACTAGTGGCGCTAGACCTGCAACTCCTAGAGGAAACCAGCATCACAGTGCTGTTGCAAAATGAACCAGCCTGTCCGCCAGCAGAATGAAGCTGTGACTGAACGTCCGCCCTGATCCCTATGTTACCATGATTACCCCTCTCAGGGATTTTTCGTTCCTCAGGGACTTGTCACACCTTGCCGATTTAGCCAGCGGATGCCTGACGTCCAAGAATATCGTAAAACGCTGGCATACGCTGAACTTTCTATGTATTTTTTTTTATATTTTGGGCGTATACATAGAGTATTCATAACGAGTCCAGAGCGACAGCCTAACTTATGCATAGTGCACGGCACTGTAATGCTCATGAAATAATGCACAATTCATGGCTATTGGTTAAAGCTCAGGTGCAGTGATGCGCCTCTTCAGCATAAAAAGATTTCTTTGATCGCGGTATTAACCTAGCTGCTGTTTACCGCCGCCAAAAAAATTTAAAATAAATAAAATAAATTAATAAAAAGGAAAAGAAAGAAAGAAGGTTAGGCTCACCCTATGATGGGGATGAACTCTGGAGAAGAACTGACAGTTTCCTCCTGTGAACCCCTTTATACCAAAACGCTGCCAATACAGCATTATATAGTAGCTGGAAGTTACGAGCAGTTACAAGTTTAGCGCTCGTCTGTAACACTTCAGATACGTTGATATGCGTTGGAGAGAAGTACTTGATAAGTTATGCATAAGTAAAGCACAAGGTACTCAGAGGTTTTGGATAAGCTAGACACCCCAACTTATG